ATGAACAAAAAAGTATCTTAGATCAATAAAACGGTATATTGTTTAAGATGATCCTTGGCATTCTTAATTTTAAGAGTGCTTCTAATTTAACAAAAAGTATTTTTGGTTTAATAAACTCACACACTACTGATGACAGTTTAAACCAATAGAACTTTGGGGAAAGATGACTTCAAAATACATAACAAAACCCTTATTTGTATACTCTTTGACACAAAGTTCTACTTTAAGGAACTCTCCCTCAAGAAAATCACTGGACAAATGTGGAAAGGACAAAGAAGGAATATTGCTACACTGGTCCTACTATTAAATGTACAAAATATTTTAGCTTTAAAATAGAATACTGAGGAAATCATACACAATATTTCTTTATGACAGAAAACTAATAACAAAAGAACCTGAGACCCTGAAAAATGCTCATGTATGTTAAGTGAACAGAGCAGGTCACAAATCTGTGAGAAAAGTTATAAGAACGATATATGTATAGAAAACAATGCATAAAAGAAGCTTCAGGAAAAAACTGAGAAAAATGTAAAGAAAAAATCAAATTTAAAAAATCTCTTTAAGCATACATGTGTTTTCCTGATTAAGAGAATACAGTAGGTCCTCAGTAAAATGGAAAATAATGGACTCAAATGAAGGCACCTCACTGTGCTATTACAGATCTCCAGGGAGAAAGAAGATTCTACAAGGTTCTAGAAGGGAAAGCAAAAAGGATCAAGAATGGGAATTTTTTCAAAAAGAATCAGAATAGCTAGAAGATAATAGAGGAATACTTTCAAAATTCTGAAGGAAAACAATTTCCAATCTAACATTCTTTACCTTGTCAAACAATTAAGTGTAATGGTCAAATCAAGTACATTTTGAAAGATGCAAATCTCAGTTTCACATGCATCCTTTCTTAGGAAACTACTAAAAACTGTGCGGCTCCCAAGCAAGGGGACCCAATCCAGGGCACAGTGGAAGAGGATCTCCCAGGTGCTGGCGCAAGAGCCCCAGGGCTGTCAGCTGTGCCAGGTGAGCAGGACAGGTGGGGGCAGGTCAGAGGCCCTCGGAGAGGGTTGGTCATGTGGCTGACCTTGGTGGAATACCAGTGTCTCTTAGTTTCCTGAGAGTTCTACAATGAAGGTAAAGTTAGTGATCAAATGGCTAAAGAACTAAGAAATGAAAAATGAGATTTACGAACTCTGGGGAAACAGACTGGGCAGGAAAGGAAAAATGCTCATAGGCTACTCAATGGCTCAGCTGTGAAGAGTGTTCCCTGGGTCCTGAGGTCAGCACTAAGTTACTGACATAATCCAAAATACAGTGAGACAGAAAGATACATGTATTAGTAGTGGGGGTGGGGAAGAGGTGGTCCAAGAGAGCTAAAGCCTCGTATTTCAGGGTGGGAAGCCAATGGGTAACACCTACAACTGGAAAACAAAATTCAAGAGATGGCACCACAAACGTTATCTAGAGCTTTAAGAGATTTGAAAGTGGGTACCACAAGATTTAGACACAGTGGGGCAACATATTCTGTCTGTAGGGCTATTTGACTAAAACATGTGCATACACAGCTGTCAAAAATAAAAACTATAGCTAGTAATAAAGGTAATTTTTCTTACATTTTCCCATCTTTTCAAAAAATTTATTAAAATCTAAAAAGTCACATCATGACAATATATCAAGTGGTTACTTCTAGTGATGGCACCCTCGGCCATTCACACTTTTCTTCACTTCTCTATTTTCTGAAAAAGTGTGGAACACAGAGCATATTGATCATAAATCAGAAAACAACAGGCACTTTACATTATGCCTGGTACAAATCCACACCATTCTCTGTCATTTCAGCTTCCGTTTGCTCTGCTGGAGGAGGGGAGCCTGCCAACTCCTTCAACTCACACAGCAAATATTTGTTGAATTCTTGTAAGCCAGGCCCTGGCAAGGTGTTTCCAATACCTCAGCTTTTTGCTGGGTCTCTCAAAGTCCTCAATGCAGCTGAGGGAGCCAGTTGGGGATGGGCTAAGCCAACACTTCACAAAATTTCTGGGCACTGGGCCCCCTGGGATTGGTTCAGTAGGTCTGGCAAGCAGGCTCTGGAGGAGCAAGTAAGCAACCGGATGTAGTCAGGTATTGCCAAGGGTGTCTCAGAGGAACCGTCTGAGTCCTCACTCACTTCTGCACCATCCTGGTTCGTATTCTCAACCCTCATGTAGGCCATATTTCAATTCCACAACAGTTTAAAGTGTGTGAGACATGGTGGAAGGGATGCCCCTTAGCAGTTAAGAGCTGGGCCCCAGAGACAGGCAGGGCAGGGTTTCAATCCCAGCTCTACCGTCCCCAGGTGTGATTTACTTCCCCTCCCTTTGCCTCAGTTTCTTCATGTGTAAAATGGTATGACTGGAAGCCACCTTCAAAGGGAGGGTTGTTGTGTGGGTTACATGAGGGCACAAAGGCACCTAAGGGGCTTGATGAGCCCCTAGTTCCTGCTGAAGACTCAAAAGTCGGCGGCCACCGCTACCTGTTAACAGGCTCCTGTCTTTTCTCAGCCATAAAGTGGTGTGGGGACTTTACGGGAAATCACGGGACCGCTAGGCCTCCAAGTCCTCCTATGCCGGGGAGAATGCACTTGCCCAGCCTCCTCCCTAGGGAAGTTCTGAGTCTAAAAGAGAGAGTGCACAGCGCCAGGAAGGAGCCCCTTTGGTGCTCAAAGACGCGGAGCACCCAAGCTTTACCCGGTAAACGTTTCCTGATTCCTCTCAAGTGTACTACGGCGGCGGGGTGTTGGGGGGAAAGTCCTCTCCCCTCCCCAATCTTTAGAAAGCCTTGCTTTGAGGGAGGCGGCCTTACACGTGGTGATCAGGTAAGGGAAGCACCAGGTGTCCATGACACCCACTAACCCAGACTCAGCAGCGCCCACCAAGCACCCTGCCCTGGGATGCGCCAAGACCACTCAGCGGGCCCAGAGCAGTAAAGTTAGTGATCAAATGGCTAAAGAACTAAGAAATGAAAAATGAGATTTACGAACTCTGGGGAAACAGACTGGGCAGGAAAGGAAAAATGCTCATAGGCTACTCAATGGCTCAGCTGTGAAGAGTGTTCCCTGGGTCCTGAGGTCAGCACTAAGTTACTGACATAATCCAAAATACAGTGAGACAGAAAGATACATGTATTAGTAGTGGGGGTGGGGAAGAGGTGGTCCAAGAGAGCTAAAGCCTCGTATTTCAGGGTGGGAAGCCAATGGGTAACACCTACAACTGGAAAACAAAATTCAAGAGATGGCACCACAAACGTTATCTAGAGCTTTAAGAGATTTGAAAGTGGGTACCACAAGATTTAGACACAGTGGGGCAACATATTCTGTCTGTAGGGCTATTTGACTAAAACATGTGCATACACAGCTGTCAAAAATAAAAACTATAGCTAGTAATAAAGGTAATTTTTCTTACATTTTCCCATCTTTTCAAAAAATTTATTAAAATCTAAAAAGTCACATCATGACAATATATCAAGTGGTTACTTCTAGTGATGGCACCCTCGGCCATTCACACTTTTCTTCACTTCTCTATTTTCTGAAAAAGTGTGGAACACAGAGCATATTGATCATAAATCAGAAAACAACAGGCACTTTACATTATGCCTGGTACAAATCCACACCATTCTCTGTCATTTCAGCTTCCGTTTGCTCTGCTGGAGGAGGGGAGCCTGCCAACTCCTTCAACTCACACAGCAAATATTTGTTGAATTCTTGTAAGCCAGGCCCTGGCAAGGTGTTTCCAATACCTCAGCTTTTTGCTGGGTCTCTCAAAGTCCTCAATGCAGCTGAGGGAGCCAGTTGGGGATGGGCTAAGCCAACACTTCACAAAATTTCTGGGCACTGGGCCCCCTGGGATTGGTTCAGTAGGTCTGGCAAGCAGGCTCTGGAGGAGCAAGTAAGCAACCGGATGTAGTCAGGTATTGCCAAGGGTGTCTCAGAGGAACCGTCTGAGTCCTCACTCACTTCTGCACCATCCTGGTTCGTATTCTCAACCCTCATGTAGGCCATATTTCAATTCCACAACAGTTTAAAGTGTGTGAGACATGGTGGAAGGGATGCCCCTTAGCAGTTAAGAGCTGGGCCCCAGAGACAGGCAGGGCAGGGTTTCAATCCCAGCTCTACCGTCCCCAGGTGTGATTTACTTCCCCTCCCTTTGCCTCAGTTTCTTCATGTGTAAAATGGTATGACTGGAAGCCACCTTCAAAGGGAGGGTTGTTGTGTGGGTTACATGAGGGCACAAAGGCACCTAAGGGGCTTGATGAGCCCCTAGTTCCTGCTGAAGACTCAAAAGTCGGCGGCCACCGCTACCTGTTAACAGGCTCCTGTCTTTTCTCAGCCATAAAGTGGTGTGGGGACTTTACGGGAAATCACGGGACCGCTAGGCCTCCAAGTCCTCCTATGCCGGGGAGAATGCACTTGCCCAGCCTCCTCCCTAGGGAAGTTCTGAGTCTAAAAGAGAGAGTGCACAGCGCCAGGAAGGAGCCCCTTTGGTGCTCAAAGACGCGGAGCACCCAAGCTTTACCCGGTAAACGTTTCCTGATTCCTCTCAAGTGTACTACGGCGGCGGGGTGTTGGGGGGAAAGTCCTCTCCCCTCCCCAATCTTTAGAAAGCCTTGCTTTGAGGGAGGCGGCCTTACACGTGGTGATCAGGTAAGGGAAGCACCAGGTGTCCATGACACCCACTAACCCAGACTCAGCAGCGCCCACCAAGCACCCTGCCCTGGGATGCGCCAAGACCACTCAGCGGGCCCAGAGCGTTGAGCTTCTGCCCCAGCCGGCGCTCTGAGGGTCCCGACCCTCTTCCCCAGGAGAGCCCCAGGTGACCAGGCCTGGTTCAGACAGGCGGCCTCCGAGTTGGGCACTTCGGGGAGAAGGCCGGGCTCCCTTCCAAGCCCGCGCGAAGACCCGAGTGGGCTCCGAGCCGCGAGCCCCGTGCGGCCCGCATGCGCCCGCCGCCCGCACCCCCGTCCGCCCCGGGACTCACGATCTCCGCCACGATCAGGAGCCCGGGCAGCGTGCGCAGGAACTCGCGGTCGTAGGCGAAGCTGCTGCTGCTGGTGGAGAAGTTCTCGGCGAAGGAGCTGGCGGTGGTGGTGACGGTTTGCGAGCGCGCGCGCTGCGGCACCTCCATCGTCGCCTCTGGGCCGGGCCGGCCCCTCCTCGGGCAGCCCCACCGCGTCGGGGGGCCGCGCGGCGCGGGGCAAGAGACCCCGGCGCGGAGGCAGGGAGGGAGCGCGGGCCGGGAGCCCGGCAGGCGCGGCGGGTCCGGCGGGTGCCCGGCGCCCTGGCTCTCGGGCTGCACGGGGCCGGAGAGGAGGCCGAGCTGGCGAGGCGGCCGGGAGGAGGGGAGGGGCGGGGAGAGGGGCGGGCGCGGGGCGGGCGGAGAGGGACCGCCCCACCCAGCGCCGGGTCCGCCGGCCTCTTCACCTGTTGCCGGGGACCGTGCGGCCCAGAGAGTGCCGGGTGGAGCGCGGGCTCGCGCGAGGTCAGGACTGGCAGCCCGGCGCGCTGCGCGGAGGAGGGGGCGCGGGATCCGAGCGGACACCCGCAGCCGCCCGGCCCAGGCTCCGCCCCGCGGGCGCGGCCACCGCTGACCTGTCCCTTTCCACCTGACGGTGACGGCCCGGGCCCCTTAGGGAGGCGGCGGCTCCAGGAATGAGCCCTCGGAGAGACTGCCGAGGCCGGGGCGGGGCGGTGACTCGAGCGCCGAGCGGCTGGAATCCCGACCTGGCCGGACCTTAGTCCCGAGATCGATGCGAGGCCGCCCAGAGAGCCCAGGGCGGCGCGAGCTTCTCCCCTCCCGCTCTGGCCGCCGCCACAGCCTGGCTCCATTTCCTGCCCCTCCTACTGGGAACAATATGAGGAACCAACTTAATCGCCGGGCTTTGAGGGCGAGCCGTTTCCAGGCGCCCGCAGCGGCTCAATCGCGGGCACCCGCGGAGCCCCGGTGACGGCGCCTGGCGGGACGTGCGTGGAGTCGCTGGTCGGGACGAGTCAGTGTGACCGTAACGTCACCGTCGGAAGGAAATATTTGTAAAAAGCTTGGACGGTGTTTGGATTGCGCAAAGTGAAGTTTATGGCAAACGGACTGTGCGTTCCCGGGATGGGGGAAGAGATGAGGGCGTCCCATTTAGTGAGGCAGCTTGTGGTAAATCAGGTGAGATCTCAGCTCCAAGGCGGCGCGTGAATTCCTCGGTTGTATGACCAAGAGCCAGTGGCTCTTCCTCTCCGGGCCTCAGTGGTGCCATCTAGATAAAATGCAGGCTCTGATAGATGGACCTCTCACCAAAAAGCACCTTCTGGGTGGCCCTCCTGTTCTGTGAAAGTGGTAAGAAACACTTTTATTTGGAAACCACCAAAAAGAAATAATCCTTGGTCACAAATAGAGCGTTGTTTTGGGATCACAGTAAAAGCATTCCCTCACATCTGCTCCCAAGATTTTTTTTAAAAAGCCAGAAGGGTTGTTTTATCCGTGATGCCCAATCAGCTAAACTGAAAAGAAAGCAAAACCTGTTGTAGAAGGGAACTGGGATTAAAGTCTAGGCCCGAGCCTGCAGGACCTCAAGGAGTAAAAAGGTAAGGCTTCAAAATCATTACAAAGATGATTTGGAGATATTTTATCCATGAGCATTTACTAAACACCTTGGGCTAGTAGGTAGATACAACAAAAATTAAAATATGGCAATTTCCCCTAGAGCAGTGGTTCTCAAAGTGTGGTCCATGGACCACCAGCATTACCCAGAAATTTGTCAGAAGTGCAAGTTCCCAGGCCTACCCCAAACCTATAGAATCAGCAATTCTGAGAGCATAGCTCATGCAGCTGTATTTGAACAGTCCCTCCAAGAGACTGTGCTACACACTGAAGTTTGAGATTTCCTGGTTTAAAAAAACTGATGTTGCCGCTGGGGAAGAGATCATCACACGAAATGGCTGGAAAAGGAGTCGATGGCATGACATTTAGTAAATGCAGGAAGCCAGGAAGAAAGTCAAGACAACTCTATTTCTGTAATACAAAGAACAATTCCTTCTCAAAAATCCCGTGGAGCCAGATAGATTTAAAAATTCTAATTTTTTTTTTAATTTAGAAAGGTAAAATATACACATACCATATACTACATAACATCCTGGGTGAGGTCTGGAGTGGTAACAAACACTAATTTTCTGCAATGAAAATATACGAAAGAGATAGTGTGTGTTTGGGTTATCTATTGCAATGTAATAAATGTTCCCCAAACATTAGTGGTTTAAAATAACCATCTTATTTGCTCTTGAGTCTGTAGGTCAGGAGTTTGGGCAGGACTTGGCAGCAGAGTCTTCTGCTCCACGTGGTGTCATTTGGAGCAACAAACTCAGCTGCTTTCAGCTGGTGGCTGGGCAGGCCTAGAAAGTTCAAAAAGGCTTTTCTCACATACTGGACTTCATTGCTATTCTACCTAGCCTCTCCCTCTCCATGAACTTACTCTTCCTCCATCATGATAGGCTCAGACTTCCAGCAGGGAAAGTTCTAAGAGGGACAAATGCAGACACTGCAGATCTGAGACCCAGCTTCAAAAGTTACACAGCATCATTTCTGCTACATTCTCTTGATAACACCAGTGATGAGGACAGCCTGGATTCAAACAGGAGGAAAGAGATACCACCTCTGAGGGCAGGAGCAGAAAAGAATTGTGACCATCTTTTAATCCATGAAATAGGATTAATGAAGACAATAAATAGCATCACATCAGTTTAAGTCAGGGTTTCTACAAAATAAATTCTTTGCAAACTTGAGAAGAAATTTGGTATTCAGCTTTTTAGATTTAAGAATTATAAAGAAGCAGTTGGACGCTGGTTGCTCACATTGGCTGCCCCTTTCCAACTGTGCTCATTTTTCCTAGAACCCTCCTGACTGGTATTCCTACCTACCATAACACCCTTAGCCAATCCACTGTTCATCTTTCTACAGGAATTATTGTCCTGAAACCCTAGGCTCAAATCTGGGCTAACATACCACTGTGCATATGTCAGGGTGTCTATGTGGTGGTTCACCTGTCTTCCCAGCAACCATAGAATGTGTCCCATTCCAGGCCAAATACATTTTCATATGTCTCTGCAAGTGTGACCACTTTACACCCATAGCCAGTTTTGCTCTCAGCCTAGAAAGCTGCCTACCTTAATCCATAGATCAAAATCCACATCGTTTAGGCCCGTTTCAAATGCCCCATTTTCTGTAAATTCTTCTGGATTCCCATAAAGCTTGTTCTTTTTGTCTTTGCTCTAGAATTCATTGTTTGTATGCACTTCTCTTTACACCTTATTAAGGAACTATGAATTACCCTTCTTTGTCTCCCCTCTGCCATAGGAGGTAGTGAATGAATACAGAGACCCAAACTTTTTTCTTAAGTGGAGAAAAATATCAAAGGAAGAAAAGGTAGGCCCTGCTCTCCCATGAAAAACTTCATGCAGAACAGAGCTTTGAGCTGAGACCTGTGGGACATATATAATTTGTAGAAATGGAGGAAAAGGTGGACTGGTGGGTGTAACTCTGGGGGGAAATCCCCAGGGCAAAATACCTTTGAAACCAAAATCAAAGGGAGAAATAAAGTTTAAGAAACCCGTTTATTTCGTACACTAGTCCTCCTGCATCTCTCTCCACCTGGCTGCAGAAGACAGAGCTCCACCCCACATCTCTCGTCTAGCAAGCCCTCTTCACCCATGTAATTACCTATTGATGTGGAGATGAGGGCCTACTTCTCTCCACCTCTTAGAAACACCTATTCATATGGAGATACACTAAAGCCAGGCAAGAGATTCTGGAAATATTGCAATTTTACCCACAGTGGAACATTGCTCCATCTTACAGGAACAGCCCAAGTGAATACCACAAATGCCTGGATGAGAAGCTCATGTGCAATTAGACACAGAGGAGTCTAAGGACATCTGATTGCACCAAATGAGGGAGATTCATAGGGTGTAGGGCTGAGGCTTTATACACGGCCTGAGATATGGTTTCCATAGGCCAAATTCCCCAAAAAGCAAGTTATGAGACAGAGCACTCCCAAGGGCCCATAGAGCCCAGGCCATTCTGGGGGGACCCAGGGCTCATCAATAATTTAATTTAAAAAAAGGGGCACCTTATGACTTCCACCTGCTAGCTGAGAGAGACAGGGACGTTCACATTTATAAAGTATATTTTCATAAGTTCACCTACCACAAGTTTCTCTTATTATTCTAGTTTAAAATGAATTTTGGTTGTTTCAGGCAACAATCATCCATGGATGTTAGAATTAGTGGACAAAATTATAAGGAGAAAAAGGGTACTTATCTCATGGCAAAGCATCTTCCCCAGAGAGAGCATTTTCTCTTCATAATTCAAAGGTATCTTTGTGGAGAAGAAACCTATGAAATAGCACCAGACATAAAGTTCTTATCGCCAGACAGCACGTACCTCCCAATGTGATTCAGTGAAAGGATATATCACTCTTGGGGTATTCTTACCAAAATGGATAACCTGAATTTAATCATGAGGAAACAACAGAAACCAAAGTAAGGGACATTTTTAAGTTAAATGTCAAGTCCTGAAAGACAGGAACATTGAGGAACTTCCCCATTAACAGAAACTAAGGAAAATGGCTAAATGCAATGTGAAATCCTAGATTGGATTGGATTATGCAAAATCTGAATGTTTTCTAGATTAGATAATGGCATTATACCACGTTCATTCCATTATTATTATTTAAGGCTAATTAAAAATAGGGTTCTCCTCCCAACAGAAGGGACCCAAAGAGGACAACACCAAGACACATAATAATTAAAATGGCAAAGATCAAGGACAAGGACAGAGTATTAAAGGCAGCCAGAGAGAGAAAAAAGGTCACCTACAAAGGAAAACCCATCAGGCTATCATCAGACTTCTCAACAGAAACCCTACAGGCCAGAAGAGAATGGCATGATATATTTA